TCGATTAAACACATGCGAAAAAGTTAGATTAGAAGAACCTTTTGTGTTTGCGTCTGAGGATGAACCATGTAGAACGCGTTGCCGAAGAGATGTGCGGTAGGACTTGCAGTTCCAATTTCTCTGTCTGTTCCACGTCCTCTCACGATATGTCGAGTGTTTAAGGTACACATGAACGAAACAGCGTATACTGGAATAGAAACAAAGGTTAGCACAAAGGCGGTCAAGCGAAAGATAGCTCACGTTTGCTCAAAACGAAATAGAAGGCCATAAACAGGAAGTTCGTAGGATACAGATCGTACTGTCCATACGGTCAGGACGTGTTTCGCTGATTTCTATTTCCTGGACTCACCAATACTAAGGTTGTAATGCTGATGGTACTATAAATATGTTCGGATCAGCCTATGGCACACGACTTTCTCCCACCAACCTTGTCAGAACGCCAGTGTTGATGGCATAAACCGTGAGTCTGTTGACAACAGAGTCCGAACTGATCATCGACTCAGTATGAGTATTCTGTCAGCTCAGGACGTAAAATGGCTCACCTCTTGTAGCCCGTTCTTAGCCTCCGCAAGAACAAGGATAAGGAAAGTGCAATGATGATATCAGTCAGGACCCCAGCGCCCAGCGAAAGCGAAGCCAAAGTCTGTGACCAGAATTAGAATCGCTACGGCATTCGGAACTGACGAGCGCTAACCCTCAAGTTCGATATGTACGCCAGTTTGTTCAGCTGAAAACTTATCAAGATCACATGTCAGTACTAGGATGGTTCTGTGAAAAGAACGACATCTTACGCTCGTACGGCATATGCTTTTGTTATCAGGTGGTCAGCACTAGTCTCTTTCAACGGGTCCGAAATTGGAGGTACCTATGGCGAGCCCTGCTCGGAACTCGGCGGTCAGAATGGGCACGGGGGGAATCCTTCTAAAGCGTACCGAGTTGTCCATATGTCAAGAAGAGCTGTATCGAGAAATGAATGTCAAGCGACTATAGATATCTTAAACAATGATGACTTACAATTAAGCATGTAATGGGAAGATTATGTCCGCTGACTGGGTCTCGTTAGGTACATCCCGAAGAAACAGGACTTAAAGATTCTTACATCGCCATACACGCATGGCAAAGCATCTGAAGAAGGAGTCAGTAACTAAGGCATGATTGGGTGCACATGTCGTACGTTTTAACAATAGTGCCCACTAAGGCCTAGTGAAAGGACATAAATACTTTGCGAGACCGATGGAGATTGACAGGTACGTACACCCAAAACTAATTGAAGCTGTTGAGCAGTCTTTGTGAGTCATCAATGCTAGATGAAGGGCATTGCTTACAATGAGCGTCCATATCACGTCCCCAAACAACATAACTTGCGGCGACATATAATTTCTAGTAAACCTCTCTGTCAGTCGACCGTTACGATGCAAGCTTTGCCACACACGATATTGTATAATAATACACGCAATGCCCAATAAACGCCTGGTCAATCATTTCTAAAACCCTACACCCGGGAAATCAACGGATCGGCGTGTCATCGCGAAAATCACCTGCATACCAAATTGCTGCCACCTGTCCACGAGCAAAATTAACTGGTTGTAACTTCGGAAGAGGGATGTCGTCGCACCAGAAGTTTATAAGCAGGTAAATCGGACGGATACCGCCGAAAATACGAAAAAGCCTGCACACACAGCGCCCCGATTATTGCACAAGACACACCGAACCCGATTAATGCTGCTCCAAGGGTGGAATCGACACGGATAGGACTAGACATGCTGAGATGGAGGGGAGGATGGGACAGTCTCGGAGGGAAGGATGGGGGAACGGAGTGCTGGCGACCGACCACAAGTTGCAAGAATCCCCTGCTTATGGAAGAAGCTATATATGCCTTGCCAAGGGCCGTGACATCAGGGCCCGGGAACAATATATTAAATGCATTTCACACTAATCGAATTCGAGAAACTTTCGGTGACGTCCTCGATGGTAATGAATCCGCGTGTCATGAAGTCTTCGGGGCGTCGGTCATTAAGCAGCGAGAGCTGGAGCGCTTAGTTCCCGAGTCTTGAATACTGTAGCATATACGTGAGTCATCGTCTCCGCAAATTTACCAGTTGGGAAGCCGATGCGTCAAACGGATCTGGCTCGCAGCGACCCAAGTATACCAACTAGATTCACAGTTCTGGTATGATGCGAGATGATGCGTGGACCGGGGGCAAAGAAACGCCTCCCCCCGGCTCGTGGGACCTCTACGCACACCATACCAATGAAGAGCAGACAACTGACGAACGAAAATGAATAGAAGCAAGGGTTATCGGGGAAAGTCACAGATTCTCCTCCTTCTGACCCGGAATAATTGACTTCTGGAGTCGATAACATATCCGAGGCCTGGATGGTGGGTACAATCTTAAGTTGAGAAAATGCAGGACCGCATGCCACATGGCGTGTATCACCGCACTGAATCCGCGTTACGAAAGGTATGTTAGAGTGCCCGAGCGGCTCATGAAACGGTGGAAAATATATCTCGCCATTACGCTTTGCGGTTAGAGTCAGTCATGACTCACGTTTGCGCGCCAAATTTTTCCAACTGGAGCGCTCTGACTCTGAGACACGGATTAACTATGGGTATTCAGGTGTGAAAAGATGACTGAATACAGTGCCTCACCAAATATCTACATGTTTTGGCCATAAGCTGATTACAAGGCACCCACTCTGACCCCGCACACTTTGAAGGGCGCTGGGAAAAACAAAAGATGATCTTGACGCCGCTAAATCCAATGATCTGAGTGCGGGAATCCTAAGCCGGTGGGCGCACGGTAACAACAAGAATGCATTAAATGCTGTAAAGAGTATCTATCACGGTGTCGTCAGATCAGAGCAGAAGAAACAGGGGTAAGAGAAATAACACACCTAACATATACCTTATTGCTTCTTCATATTCTTCTTAGCAACACTCTTATCGCTCCTCGCCCGTGTTGATTTTGGAGTGTTTGTTTTGCGCGATGAAGCTGACGATGATTTCTTTCGCACCCTATCACGCTCTTTCCCTTGCATCTTCACTCCCTCCTTACCCAAAGTTAGTCTTGCCTTCTTCTTTGCCAGGCGTCGTGCCACTCGGTCGGCATCAGTAGACTTGACGTGTTTGCGAGCCTCCTTGGTGAGATGAACGAGTCTGTCGCCTAATGAAGGGTCACCAGCGGGTATTGACGGCTGGACTAAGTTCTTGGTTCCCCCGGGGGCCGAACTAGTGGTACGACGTCCTCCTGGAAGCGTTTTGCAGCGTTGCACACGCAACTTGCGTTTGGCGAATTTGAGCTTTGCTTCTTCCAACGCCAGAACTTCGTCGACGCATTGCCGATCCTGGAGAGTCGGTAAGTTATCTGAGCAGATGAGTGATGAAAAGAGACACTCACGGCAAATTGAACGTACGCAAACCCTTTCCCAAGCTGAGATTCCTTGTCTCGAACAATTCGAACCCTGGTCACCCACATTGGTGATTTCTTCACATCTCTATCCTGCTCGTCATTCCCAGCTGGCGGTCCACGCTCGCCTGTAACAAGCGTTTCGAAAAACACCCGGAGATCTTCCTCTTTGGTTCCGAAATCCAGATTACCGACAAAAACAGACGACTTGGGATCGCCGTCGACCGAGTCGCCACGATCTTGTGAGTTTGTTCTGCCAACGAGGTCCACACGAAGAACACGATCCATGAAGGTCGAGCCGTTGCATAGGTCCGTCGCTAAGCGCGCCGCTTCGGATGGGTCGAGCGTAGGAGGCAAAGGGGGAAGATTGGATGGTCTGTTTTCTGGCGGAACCGAGTGCGCGAAAACGATGTAAGCATTGGTGAGGTCGGCAGAGGAGTGGAAATCATGATTGATGAAAGCAATACGTTTCTTTTGACTCGGTGTAAGGAATTTCTTTTCGTCACTTTTTGTTGAGTCGTCTTCGTTGTTGTCTCTCCATGACGAAGCACGATCTTTTCCATGCTCTCTGCCTTTCTTTGCTTTCCCCGGTGTCTTTGTCTTTTTCTCGGAGACATCATCCTCAGGAAGTTTGGACGTGGGAGTCTGAAAAGCGATGGAACGAAAACGAGTAGATTCAATTTTTGCATTGGGAACCAGACCGATGATATGTCGATGTAGCTGTTTGAGTACAGACTGCGCGTGACGATGAGAATGAGTCGGCATCAAGAGAAGGCGTGCAACGCACCTTTTTTTGAGCAACTTCGATAGATAGATTTCCAACGAAGATCGTGCGTAAATCCCGTTGGTCCTGTGTCTCGTCAGAAGGAACGAATTTACGCTTCTGACTGGCACGACCAGCAGAAGGAGCGTTCTGAGCTATTGATTCGTGGACAAGTTTCGAGGGATCTTCGTCTGACTCGGATTCGCCATCCTTCTCAATTGGAATCTCTTTCGACTTCACGTAGGTATCCTCCAGTTCGTCGTCGTTCTCGTCGTTGTCGATGGCGACCTCTGCTGTATGCTTCAGAGTCTTTTGGTTTTTTTTAGGCGCTTTGCCTTGCTTCGCGGACTCGAACGAAATAGATTTTAGTCGCTTGGTGGAAACGGTAGATTCCTGTTCGTGTTTACGTTTCTTCGAGGTGACCTCGGTGACATTACTTTTCGGTGGCCCAGATACAAGTGGGGGTTTGATAGCCTGCTACGGTATAAAGACAGATGTTGCAGTCAGAGAAGATCACTTACATTTGATTGAAATAGGGCGTCGAGTTCCGTATCAATAAGCTTGCTGCCAGAAGAGAGAAGTAAAGAATCCAGCGTCATGGTGAAAATATGAAGACAAGTTAGCGCCGGCAGCCCAGTATAAAGGGTGTGACATGTTTAGCGCGTCTTATTATGTCAATATCCGAGTATAGTTGTGGGCGTTTAGCGCAGTGGTAGCGCGCATGCTTTGCACAGCATTTCTGTTACGTAATCTGAATGTCTCATCGCAAATTTTGGTATGAAATGCCTCCTTGCCAAAATTCTATACCCGTCGTGTACACACTAAAATATGGGCGCATAGCGCAGTGGTAGCGCGTATGCTTTGCACTGTCTTATGTATAAGGTCGTGGGTTCAAATCCCACTGTGTCCATTGTTTTTGCAATCAATTTTCTCATTGGAGGTGAGACGACATCCGACATCGACCGTGGACTGGTCACTGGGGCTGCTTGGGAGTCCATGTGCAGAAAGTTTCGTCGCAAATTTTGGGATGAGATGCAGGGGCCTCCAACTCGCCGACCAGCGTTCTAAGGGGGGTTATACTTGCGCTGTGACTTTCACATGATTGCTTTGCTTCTCATCGGCACTTCGGTTTCTTTCCTACCATCAACATCCGCCTCTCAAAGAAAGCATATAGTTTCCTAGTACTGTAAGACACACTACACGGAGCACGCAGATCACTAACTGACTCGTTATTTCAGATGGCAACTCACGATGACACGTCCGGTGACAAGGAGAACTCACAAGTAGCTTCAAGCCCTCGCCCCTCAGCTGCTACGCGTAGCACGCGCGCCAAAAAAGTTCATGTGATATCTGACTCAGATAACGAAGAGAATACTACCAGACAGGTCCGGCGCAGAGGACCTGCACCCAAGAAGAATCCCAAGAAGAAGACCGCTGGACCTGAACCCGACCACGAAGACGATCAACCCACCCCTTCCCCGACAAAGACGAAGCGCAAAGGAAAAGCTCCAGCAGCAGCTCCAAAAGCAATCACCAAGGCTGCCGCAGACGCGGCCACCAAGGCAATGGCGCAGCTCGCCATGAACCTTTCGATTGACTCGGCGAGGAAGGAGTCGGATCTGCGGAAGCGTGCTGAGGCTGAACAGCAGGTTGCCCAGCACCGAGCCATTGCCCTGGAAAGGGCCGTTGTCTATGCCGAAAAACGTCTCCAGGCATTACAGTTAGCGAAGGATTTGGACCTTGGTACGCAATTCTAGCGCATATATGCTGCTACTCTTACACGTTTGTCTTTTTAGACCCGAAGCTTGTCGGTACGTTACCTCCCCATATATCTTGCCGTTTTATTGACTTGATCTCAGGTCTTCCAGAAGATCCCCTCACCATATCTCCACCCAATGATACGACCGGCAAGCCTAACGAAGTTCCCGCAAGAGCCTGTGTATCCAGCACCACTCCACCTACCTCTACCAAAACTCCTGCCTCTACCACTCCGCTCGCACCTAACGAAAGTCCGTCAACGTCTAGTACTTCAGGTCCTCAGACGCCAGTAGTTTATGCTACGCCGTTTTCATCAGGCTTTGGCGCCTTTACACCTGTCACACCCTTTGGAGTGCAAGGAGCGTTTCCTGGCTACGCTGGCAATTCCTTTTCGAACGTACCCTTTGCTGGATTTTCTGCGACGCCTTTTGGTCAACCTCATCCTTTTGCGCAAGGACACGCACAGCCAAACACTTCAGCCTCAAGGGCTCCTATATACACTACGCCTGAACCTGGACCCGAGGTCACCATGAGCGATGTGTAGACGCCTTAGCACTTGCATGTTTGGAAACTCGACGGATACGATAACGCTTCACTTTCTTTGCAATCCCGGCCAACGGACATCATGTAATTATAGCGGTAGACCTTTGCCGAACGGACCTCTGCACGATACCTTCCCTGTAACGCAGTTCATAGACAGATGTAAATTCATACGCAAACGATAATTTATTACGAAGAGGATACATGGTCCTTTGCAGTATCCAGGAAGTCAGTTAACAGCTCGATTCCTCCAGATGGGAAGTTTTCTGGGAGCTGCATTCAAATATAAGTTGTTGGATATCACTGACAAAATCTGCTTACATGGTCTGACAAAATAGTTTCAAACGTTGATAACATCTCATCGGTGACAGACAGCTCCTTCCCCTTGTTGCGCCGGTGTGTGGTTGAGGATGAATTGATAGCCTTGGTATTCTCATCAACGTCGCTTTCGTCTTCGTCGTCACTACCAGCTTCGTCTTGCCATTCGATCAACTTGTTGTACTCTTCGAGCATAATACGATGAGGAAGGAACTTGGGACACTCAGCGCTGACCATGTGTTGGTGAACGACGTCTATGTCTGTGTATCTGAAAAAAAACCCGTTATTATCCATTATCTGGGGCAAGCTTGTAACACTTACTCAAATTCACCACATGGACAACGGTATTGTTGAAGCTCATCAGATTCGGGGGTCCAATGCGCCACCATCTTTAGCTCAAGCTCGCGCCACAGGCAATGAAGACGATCCCTGAATACTGTCAGTAATACTATCAATAGCCGCAACAGGGAGACCTACAGATGGCGTTTGAGCTTTTCACGATGCGTGAAGCTGATGTTTCGCTGCTCTGGCGTTCGGTGTACGTACTCTAGACAGCGTTTACATGTCCAACGTTTTGTTTCCGAATCCTGAGGTAAAGGTTTCAGCACGAGGTGAGTAGATAGAAATCTGTCATACCTTGCATTCCCGCAGTTCTCGTTCTTGTAAGATAGGTTCGAGAAGTGCGATAATGAAACGTTCACGGACAAGAGTGACAGGAAGTTCGACAAGGTCTTGCTCATCAGCCTCGTCAATATTGGTAACAGCCGGCGAGAAGTTGCTAGCATTCGTCTCTTGTTCAAGGAGAGAATCAGCTGTAGTGGAAGAGGGGTCAGCAAGATGCAAGAGTTTGTGCAGACCACAATTGGCGCGGCCTTTGGGGTCGCCATACTGGCCGAAATCGACATCTGTATCCAGTGACTCTGTAGACTCTGGAGCATCTCCCGCTTCATCGTTTGAGGTGTCTATAGGCACGTGTCAGTCGTTGGGAGCGTGCACTCCTTGGTCAAGTCTCGAGCCTAAAACAATAAGAGCAGGATGTCAATGGATAAAAGAAAGTGATCATACCGCGTCAAGATCATCCTTGGTAATGCCCTCTACGAGCTCAAAAAACTTGTTTTTAGCTGGAGGGCGAGCACCTGTGGCAATGTCGTAAAGCTTCCCAATGGTTTCTGCGCGTGGACTGTATTTGCGAGCACGAGGTGTGAAAACAGTAAAATACGCTTCCCAAGCTTCATCAAGGGCTTTCTTGGCAGCAACAACACAGTCGACGGTCTGACAAACTTTTGGTATCCAAGGAGCTGACAGAATAAGAAAATAACGCACCATAAGATAAGCATCTTTGTCCACTTTTGCAGTCTTCCGGCGCACTTGCTAATTATCTCAATAAGGAGGGGAAAGGAATCAGGAAAGCGGAACATACCTCGGGTTCCTTACCCCGCCGAATAACTGCCTGTACAGCGGCCGAGAGGTAGTCTTGCTCATTAACTGGCACCTTTCAAGACAATGAGTTGTGTATTATGCGAAACAAGATAATTTAGCGTACAGGGGTACCGTCAACCTCGTTATTGCGAAGACGAACGACATTGTAGTTTTCCACATCACGTGAATAATGGTCCCGATAGCAGCCATCCTGAACATGCTTGAGGATGTCACGAGCGATACGGGCTGATAACATCTGGCCGTATGCATCGCCAGCCTCTCGGCGAAATGCATATCCTCCGGCCATTGGCAACAAAGCAGCAGTAAGGAGACCGCCAATCGACTCAGATATCCCTCCAGATGAGCATGCCTGATACGGGATGATAAATTCTCGTCCTCCGGGTTTGGCTGCAGGAAAGCTAAAGACAAGGGAAAAAGTCAACGAGTATAATATGCACAGCTGCATACTACGTACAGAGCAAATCCGCTCATGGTGGGATCAAGTCGGTACTCCAATCCTTTGAATGCAAGCATTTCGCCCACCGTCTATACGAGAAAAACATTAGCCCAAGATATTGGAATTATAACAAACATACCTTGTATTTAGTCTCGAAAGCCTCAATGGCGAAAAGGTATGCCATCATCCAGCTAGCGACGCAAAAGCTTATATTATGTGACTTGGTCACCGAATTGAGAAAGAATCGTTGCTCCTCGCCGAGAGCTTTGTTATTACCCTTATAGTTTTTGAAGTGGACAGCGATAGTAAAATCCATGTCACCCCTACGGTAGACTCGAAGGTTTTCCAGTTTCAGATACTAAAGGTATGAGGTAAATCGCATGAAACTGAAAGAAGAAAAAAGAGTGACTCACAAATCCAAGGTCACGGTATTCTCGGCACATGGGCCCAAGCGTAGATGGTCTGGTCGTCATATAAAAAGGAAAGAGAATCTTGACCGAGTATGAGAAATGTTAGAGAAGAGAAAAGGCGACATACCCTCATAATGGTATTGATTTTTACCAGCCTCGTTGATCGGCTCTTCATCCCCGTATCGATGACAAGTTGGATCTCCAGGCGTCCGAAAAACCACCTTTTGTCAAAGTGGCGGTCAAGTTTGAGATGAAAGATAACTAGTCAACGGATGAGAAGGGCTGGTGGGTTGAAAGAAGAACGACTTACGACTTTGAACTTGATCCTTAAGTCTCTGGAAAAGGTTGTACTTGGTGAGCAATTGGAGACCGCACTTCTGCTTCGTGACAGGATCGGTCGTGTATCGCAAAACCAAATGTAGGAAAAGGTTCATGAAACAAACGAGGGTACGGGACTTGATGACTTTCTTGTCCTTGGATCGGGGTGTCGTGGTATGTGCCTATGAACATGATGAGAAAGGAATTGTCAACGAAAAATGGGCGCCTTACCAAGAAGTACATGAACTTGGGACCAACAACAACAACAACAGCTGGGTCCCAAGCATTCTCTGGAGGCACGTTAGGAAGGACACGGCGGACAAGGTCTACCCAAGACGCCTCCATCTGCAATCGAGCATCCCTACTGGACGGGCTCTCGGAGGAAATGACATTCTCGTCAAACTCTATGCATTTTTCCATTAGTGACTTGAAGACGTCCTCCAAGTCGACATCCTTCCCGTCAGCCATTTGGCGCAGCGCAGTATCGACGCGGACCTTGCGACGTTCGATTGCAGCTTCAGCGGCTGCAGGCTTGAATGAGAGGTCGGGGACAACAACGGGAATGTTATCTAGTGACAGGGGGACGTAGGGGGTGTTTATGGCGTCAGTGTTCGAGTCGGGAGGGGGTGGGGGAGGCTGGTCGTCGTTGTCTGGTTCGGGAATGAGTCTCTCCTGTACAAAATAGCCAGG